CATAACACTAGTATACACAATAAACTGCACCTTGCAACTGAAGTACCTACTTTTAGTGAACTGTTAAGAATTTTGAATACGCCACTTGGACCTTCCTACAAAATGGAAAAACCCACTATCACATTTTCTGTGGAATAAGTTTAGAAGGTAATTATCTAGTCAATTACTGTCGTAGATTCCTGGAATTAAAGAATTAAATGTTTGATTGTTGAAACCCTTACTTCGTGGAATGCACTCATTTCAGATAAAATAAAACGTTTTATTTTATCTAAAGAATTAAACTTTATTTTGCAAATAGATAGGTACTTATTAAACTTTTATTGGTTATATATAACCAATAAAATAAACATCTTACATTTCATGCAAATTCATTAGTACCTGTTAACCTCCATCACTCCGACACTGGCAACCTTATTTAGGGATTAGTAACCCTCACAACTATTGTATTCTATTCTGCTCCAACCTTTATACCTGGTGGTCATACTCAATTTAAAATTGTTTTCCTATATACTTCTGTAAACTTGTTGACAAATATTTGTTTTTCATTGAGTCACCCGTATCAACAGTTTAGGGATTTGCATACATAATTTATTGTTTTATTACTCTCTCGTATATAAAAATACACTATAGACGGACAAAATTTTACACGACACGTTTTAACACAATCCGGCATATTAGTTTTTGCTGCGGCTCCAGATTTAAAATATTTTCAATAAGCTCCTTAACTTTACCGAGCTCCTTAAATTTGCCAGTTTATAACGATGCTCTATCCAAGGTTTCGTCAGTTGTTCAGACGAAATAACCATAATTTTTTTTTCTTGCGATGGTTTTTTTCCTATCGTTCTTGGTTATGATTATAAATTATCCAAGAGGTTATCTTATTCTTCTTCTATTTCTTTCTCCACTAATGAAGGTTGGCTATAACTATTACAAATTCATCTCTATCTTCTTCTTTTCTTAAGAGCGTCTGTATGTTTAACCCTTTCCACTCTAAATTTTTTTCAGCCAGGATATTTGTCCTCTACCATGACTCCTTTTTCCTTCTATTTTACCCTTCATAATCAGCTGCAACAACACGTACTTATCATTTCTAAATATTTTCCCCAAATATTCAGTCTTTTCCTTTTAATTTTCAAAAATTCTCTATCTCTTTCCATTCTATGCAACACCATTTCCTTCGTAATATTATCATATTACAGGCTTCGAGATCATAAAGAAGAATAGAGTGGATATAACATTTTACCATCCGATATCGGATTTGCAGATGGAGTCTTTGGTTACTCAGAAATTTCCTCATCTTAAAAAGGGCTGCTCATGATTGCTCTATTCTTGAGCGAATTTCTGATTTTGGATTCAGATCTTCCGTAATACAGAGTTCTTTTGCATAAGAGTTTATGCAAGCTATACTTATCATGACATAGAACAGGCAAAGAGGCCATCTTCTTGTGTTATCCGATTCATCCGGCCAAAGTTCTTTCAGGCACAATTGCAACTCAAATTTCAACTCATACTTACCTTCGTCCTATTTACGAAGCTGTGCTCATTTGCAGGCACTTCACTAATAATGTAGGCGCAACTGTAACAAAACGTTTCGATATACACTAATGTAAGAATAGATGAGCGGGCGAGAGATACTGGTGTACCCCTTACACAATATTCTACAACGACATTGGCGTCGTAAAAATTACGATGGTTAGTATTCTAGGGTTAATAATATTTGACGACTTTCGATTCAGTAAAATGGGATCTCCTTCGGAGTATATTGAGAAATGTGGCAGTCTCTAACCACCGAGTTAACCTACTGTAATAACAAATCTGTATGATAAAAACTCCGCCAAAGTTAAAGTACCCGGAATATATTCAAATGCGTTCAAACCAAGGAACTAAACAGGGCTGCTTGGCTGCATACTATTATCTTTGTTATATGACATATATTCTGAATATATGTTGTATAATATCTGGAAAGTACTACACGAACGGGTGGAGGAATCACCATAGGAGAGCGAAAAATCAGTAACCTGCGATTCGCAGATGACACAAACTATAAGCAAATTTTTCCAGTCGGTTGTATTTTTATCACGGACCAGTATCCATCCCTCATCTGCGTGTCCTGTTTTTTGTTGAAATCGTTTTTTGACAACGATTTCCGAATTGGCAATTGAAACATCAAAATAAACGTGTTTTTAACTTAAATTGTGGTTGATCTCCATTAAAGATAGTAAATATATAAGGGATATAACTCATACGTTAATGGCAACAAGTTAAACCACCTCAGATTCGCTGACGATATAGTGATTATAGCGAGCACATTCGAGGAACTGCAAATTATGTTGGGGGAACTAGCAGCCAGCTCCCAATACGTCGGCCTAAAAATGAATATGAAAAAAACAAAAATAATGACAAACACAGATGACCCCAGATATATACCTATAAACGGCAGTGAGATAGAACAAATCCAGAAATATATCTACCTAGGCCAAATCCTGAGACGACAAAGAGAACCAAAGTGCGGAAATTACTAGAAGAGCAAGACTAGCATGGGCAGGATTTGGAAAACTTAGTTGGATACTTAAGAACCGCAAAATACCCCAATACTTGAGGAGCAAAGTGTTCAACCAATGCATCCTTCCTATCATGACATATGGATGTCAAACCTGGACCCTAACCAAGGCAAACATGAATAAACTAGCCACAACAGAAAGAACAATGGAAAGAGCAATGTTAGGTATACGACTGTCAGATAAAAAGAGGAACGACTGGGTAAGATCCAAAACAAAAGTCGAGGACATAACAACAAAAATTGCCAAACTTAAATGGAGCTTCGCGGGCCACACTGCTAGACAGAAAGACGAACGTTGGAATACTACAATACAACATTGGAGACCTTACGAAAGTAAACGACCAAGAGGAAGACCACAGATGAGATGGGTTGATGATATTAAAAGAGTAGCCGGAACAAATTGGAAATATGTTGCTCAGGATAGAGACCAATGGAAGGAGTTGGGAGAGGCCTATGTCCAAATATGGACGACAGAAGGCTAAGAAGAAGAAGAAGATAACTCATACAAAAAATAAACGTTTTAAAAGAAACTAAAACAGCAGTTAACATAAGAGTATATTAAAACCAGAAGTTCAATGATAGAATGACCAATTTTATCACTGATAAAATCACGAAAATCAGTAAGAAATACATTTTAACAAATTTTAAACAAAAATTCAACTGAAAATATTATAGACGAGAGAATGTTCCGTTTTCTTCGTTCTTAGTAGCAGAATGAAACCATTTTTTCTACATCTTTTTAGCCGGAGCAGCGCATTTATACAATAAGTTCCCGGCATTATAATATAGACGTCATATAGATCGCGACACTAATAATAAATCTACATGATTTATAACTTCTTTATGTATCACGTTATACAATCGATTCATAACGAAAACTACCACTAAGCAATGGTTATCAACAATATTCTTATCTTTTTTCTTTGTATTGAAATTGTAGCATACAATTTAAATACAATAGGAGAAAATAAACATATGATTAACAATTTTATTGGATTTTGTTAATCACAGTGAGAATTATGTAAATTTCAAAAACAACCAAATAAAGCTCTTAAATCGTCACTTGTAAGATGTAACAGCATGTGATGTAAGAACATCATGTGCTAGTAGTACGATATACAAGGTGACACAGAAATAATTTATACCATGAAAATATTTTTTATCTGTTAGTATTTGTTTGTAAAATCATTAATTTAGAAGATACAGCCCCTTTTTTAAATATCAAGCTAAAATAAAACCATATTAATTTTCACAAATATCAAGTTTATATTATTCGAGAAACGATTACCGCACCATTAGCTCGATGTCTTATGAGCAAGGCGTTCTACAGATAAGTACCCTAATAGAAATTTACCGGACAGGCGCATGTTCCTAACAATTGATCGCCATTTAAGAGAAACTGGGACCTTACAAAGACAACTGCATGGTAACGGTGGTCTGCAAATAACCGTGCAAGTGATAATGCTATTCCAGGCCGTATTGCTGAACACCCAGGAAAGAGCACGAGGGTGATAGCTGCTGAATTTGGGGTATGTTATATATAAGTGTGCAGAACGGTTAAGGTACCGTTACTTCACCCCTTCCAGATAACAGCAGTTTAAAAATTACTTCTACAAGATCATCCCAAAAGTATAGCATTTTGTGATTGGCGTTTAGAAGAAAATAAGAGGGACATAAACATTTGTTGCGTTCTGCACATACGATGACCTCAATATAACAATTGGGGTCATCAGAAAGGGGAGAGAATCAATTCAATCTAGAACTCGTTGGTTTCCTCCTTGCGCATTGGGTATGTATATTCCTATAGAAAAATAATAAACAAGTAGACTATATAAACTCTATTTGAAAAAACAAGTAAAATCAAACATAAATACACATAAACAGACACACAATTATAACTAAACAAGAATATCTGGATACAGGATGTCTATGAGGTTTTAAAAACACATTAACAACAAAGAACTTTGAGATTTCGATTGCTATGATTGAGTATGATTAGAAATAACGCATAAATTGATATTAGACGTTAAAGAGTGAAAAATATGCGCACATATACTAATATAATTAATTCTTGTCCCTTATTTCAAACTTACGTATTTGTTATTTCGCAGATGGCTCGTCTTGTAATGTGTAGTTGTTAACACAGCTGTATTTTTGTACACGGAATATTGGAATATGGGGAGAATCAAAACTATCACAATGTCTGTTAATATTTTATAAATGTTTAACTCTAAGTCTAAGAGTCACTAATCATAGTTCAGTAAATGACCATTTCTCCCGCATAATCTCCTGAGCCCATGCCGATTTGCATGTAGTTTCTAGTTGGCGTAGATGATGGCTTGGATGTAGCTGAATCTAGATGCTTGTTTAATGCAAATATTTTATTTTCATTGCTTTATTTGTCTTTAACGATGTTTCTTAAAAACCGTGTTTTTTACAGGTATGCGTTTCTCCATGGACGTTTCCAGAGACGAAGTCAAAGCTTTGGCAGCCTTGATGACATTCAAATGCGCCTGTGTAGACGTTCCATTCGGAGGAGCCAAAGCCGGAGTTAAAATCGACCACAAGAAATACTCTGAACATGAATTAGAAAAGATCACTAGGAGATTTACTTTGGAATTGGTCAAAAAAGGATTTATTGGTAAGTCTGTACACATTAAGTACGTTGTAAAAGTGATATTTTTGTAGTATATTCAACATATTTTTACATGAAAGTAATAATTGTTACTTTAAAAACATCTTAATGGTATCAGCAAGTTTTCAAGCTACCTGTTGCGCAAGATGGACTCTCCTGGAGTTTTAGGTTATCTTCATTCGAAATCAGTTAAAAGTCATTACTTGAGGGTTTTTCTAGCTTGTTGAACACGAATATAATGACGTCGGTGATCCCCGAGCTATCTGGTACCCAGGGTGAACCTTGTCCTCTGATTTATGTTACTTTTATTCGAAATCAGAGTTAAAATGTATCAAATTAGAGTTAAAATATAAAACAATATATACAAAAACATTTTTTTACCAAGTAAAAAAAAATATTAACAAATAATCGTATTATCATCAAAATATATTTCTTCCTCATCTTCTTCTGTATCAGATAATTGATTTTCTGTCATAGTTCTCCATTTTTGTGCAATTTTTTTTATTTATTTTTCCATTTTTCAATTACTGCAAAATTTTACATTTTCTATGTACTTTGCAAATGCATTTTCCTTTTGCACAAAATGCAATTATATTTTACCACTGAATTTTGTTCACAAACTTTCCTGGCACCCTCATCGAATCAAATGCAAAAAGCGGTTGCACAGCTATTATCTTGCTGTGGAAAATTGGTAGGTTTAATGTTTTTTGGTGCTTCATTTCCTCGCCTAAATGGTCTTATCTGATAGAGTAATTATTGAAATCGAGAAATGTCAAAAAGAAACGAAAAAACAAAGATCTTTTAAGCTAACTATAACTTTCTAAAATTTCAAGTCATCTGCCAACATTAGACATTTGCTATTTAGGAAACAGAAGTGATATCGTTAAAAAAGATATTAAAAAGAAGTGGAAAAGTGTGACCTCCTTGAGGAACTCCAGATGTTACTGAGATACTGTCAGATAGATGACAACCTATCTTGACTCTTGACTTCTCCCAATGTAAGTTTTAATCCATTCAACAAACCTGCATGAAAGCCCACATTAATTAGTTTGTCCAAAAGTATTTGGTGATCTACACGATCAAATGCTTTGGAAAAATCTGTGTATATTGCATCTACCTATTTACGGTCTTCCATATGAGATAATGTATCAATTGATAGGAAACCAAGTTTGTTGCAGTGAATTTTTTGCTATGAAAACCATGTTGTGATTGAGATATTAAGCCTTTACATAACCAAGAAAGTTGCTTTACTATAAGACAGTCGAAGAGTTTAGGGATTGCAAATTGTATACAAATGCTACGATAATTTTCAATATTGTCTTTCTGGCCATTTTTAAATATAGGAACAACATAATTTTCTTTCCATGAAGAAGGAAACATAGAGGTTTCCAGAGATCTATTAAACAATATAACAAATGGTATTACAAGGTACAATTAAACAAGGTAAAAATTAATGAAACACGCGTTTCAAATTACAAATTTTAAATATCCCAGATATAATTGCACCGTTTGAATAAATTAAATTTTTACCAAAGATTCTCCTTTTAGCCTATGAAGGCCGATATGTAATTAAGATATGATTAGTGGGCCTCAAACAGTGGGGCGTTAATATTTAATTTAGATCGTTTGAAAAGTAAAAATATTTAATTTCCTGTATTTTATGTCAGTAATAATATTGGATTTTACTGTATCAAAGGCAAATAAAATGAATATAATATGTATACACAGGGCGGTTAAAAGAAGTGGGACGGAATATTTCGAACAATTGAAATTATTTTTCGACATCAAATGTTCATCAAGGTCTCTATAAGTCTCTATTTTGCGTAGAGTAAAAATTATAAACGAATGGTTTTGTATGCAGTTAAATTGAAAAATACTTGCCAAGTTGCTGGTATGTCCAAATTTGAATAAAATAATCCAAGACTTTACTTCCAGCAGACACTGTATAAATATAACCTTGAAACAAATTGGCACTAAATCACTTCCGAGTTTTCAGCAAAACAAAATGTTTAAACACGTGTAGTCCAGTAACAAAGCTGTTGAGAGTATGCAGTCCAGTAATTAGACCAAAGGTACTTTATCATTTAACTAAAACACACCACAAAGTTTGAATTGAATTCCCGAAACACTTTTTTGTTTCTTCATTTTAGCAAACGATTTGTCCTATTCACTGTCTGATATTTCGTTAGCAGGATTGCTAGCGAAATATCAGACCGGTTTTTGCTGATTAATGTATTTTGTTAAATTAATAAAACACAAAAATACAGCTCACGACCATCAATTAATTTTTAACGATAAACAGAAGAGAAAATATGATGACGTTTGAATTTGATCTACTTTGTTTGATGACAGTGTCGTTAAGAGAAAGATATTTTAAACAGCATGAATCATTTTTCAATGATTATGTGGATTTAAAGAATACATTACTAAACAAATTTTTTAAGTGTGTATAAAATATTAACTGTTTTTTTTCTTGAAATTACAATTATTATGACATATGGTATTTACTCCTTATTTTTCAAATAATATATTCTTGTAAATGCATAACTTTAATTATTGGGTAAATCTATATTATACGATACGTCAGAAGAAATTTAAAAAATTAACATTGCAATAAAATTAAAAACCAATAAACGATAACTTGTTGAGCAGCGCTGATTGAAACAACAGATCAGTAAAATGTTATTCATAAAGGTAGTGTAAAATATATCGCCGCTTATCTGGTCCGCAGGTAATAAAGTTACCAGCATTTAATTGCAAAGCGGTCTTCTTAGGACAAAAATCCTTTTACTTGGTTTTTCTTGGAATGAATCTGTCACGGTGTACTTAACATTAAATTTAACTCTTATCACTCTCATCACGTTCTTTCTCAAGGTCAAATAATAGGTAGAAATCGTTAATATTCAAGAGGAAATGTTAAGTTTTTTTCTAAATAGGATAATAACCTGCTGATAGGTTTTTGGTTATCTTTAAAAGATATCATTGCCTCGTAAGTCATAAGTAGCCGATAAATATAAAAATATATTGTTTTTTAATGAAAATTGATTTTCAATGATTCCTATCAATCATTTAAATAGCCATAAGTAGGTGCTTATGTCAAGTGTATTAAAAACAAATTTATTCTTGATATTGGTAATTTGCTTTAAGAATAATTTTATTGTTTTTTTTTATATTCTTAATAATTATAGTGATAAAATGATAATTTGAAGTAATTAAAATCCTAGTTCAATCTGCGTTCTATAGTTCTTCGCATGGCCTTTTTTTCTGTGTCTAATCCATATAGTATATAGCTAATATATTTAAATACCGATTCAGAAACCGAATTTCTCTCAGTCCTTGACCAATTCAATCGTACAAATATTCGAATTAGAAACTGCCGTTTCGTGAGATACGAGATATTATCTGATCGGTTGAAATATTGGGCAAAACCAAGTCAGAAAAAAGAAATCGTTGGCTTGATTAGAGTGCGAAATGGCCACAAATAGAAAGAACGCAGCATATCAAAAAACCATCCATGCAGGGGGCGACTACGAACTGCCCCACGAACTACCTGGGCCTTTAATCGGAAGTACCTGCTGCCCCATCGCCGAGAAAGTTGGGGATTAAGTCTTAATGACAGGAAATTCCAAATTTGATCATAGTTGAAAGTAAGAATATAAATATTTTCAGTTATTCACTTCAGTTGCAATTAAAATTTTCGCTCATGCTTTGTGAATTGGGTTCCTTTTTGAATACAAGAAAGTAAAATAAAAGCTATATTATGTTCACAAAAATATTATCTAAGTACGTAGGTAGCGTGGGGCAGTTCGTAGTCGCCGCATGCAGTTATACACGGAGAAAAAAAGAAGAGTATAGACCAGGGGTCGGCAACCTTTTGAGTCGGAAGAGCCAAAAATTTTAATTTACAAAATTTTTTTAAAGTTTTTAAAGAGCCACACATTTTTTTTTGTCAACAATAAATAGTACTAGCATAAATAAAGTTTTTTGATAAAAAAAATTAATCTATTTATTCATATGTAGGTATATTGTGTTTTTCACATATATATTTTCATACACTTTACTTTTCATACATTAAAGTAAAAAATTAAAACCACTAAATATTCACTTATAACAATAACTTGCTTTTCAATAACAAACAGTTGAGCTAATAATCCCAATGGGAGCGTTGGCTTTGCATGGTTATAGAAAGTTAGAGAATTCCAATTGGCTCAACGTGAATTTACTATTTGTGTTAAGAGGATTTACTATGAATGCTAAAGTAGTTTTGTTGGTTTTGAATTGTTCAAATCTGCCAGCAAATTCATCTTTAATTTTTTTTTGTAACTGTGCTGAAGTAATTCGTGTCAACAGTTGCACTGGTTTTATCGCGATATTGCTTCACAAATTGAAAATGAATTAATTTACCGCTCTGAATATCTTCTGCAAAAAGAATTAATTTTTCTTCAAAGCAAACCTATTCTTTCACCAAAATATAGGCTGGGTTTCCCTTTTACTGCAGTTTTAGATTCAGATCATTTAATTTCGCTGTGATATACACCATAACGTAAAATTTTTGCAACCATTTGTCGTTCTATAATTCAGGGAATTATATACTATAGTTTATTTTTATGAACGAGAGAGTAATTAGCATAATTTTAACTGGTATCTCCGACCACTCCATGGGCGTGCTCAAGATTAATTGAAAAATTACTTTGAATAATTGTAAAAAATAAATGAATTATTTCAGTGTTATAAAGTGTTATGTGTATGTAAACAAAAGTGACCTCTTTTATCACACACTATATTAGAACTGACTGGCGTACATTAAAAAGGGTTTTAAAAAATTCACATTTTTTTTAATTTTTAAAAATTACAAAAGAGAAAAAGAGTTTTAAAACCGTCTAAGGTATGTTAAATAGATGAATAAAAATATTAATATAAAACTTACAGCTACTTGTTACAAATCCAAATCAGATTCAGAAGATGAACTTTCAGAACCAAGATTTATAATAACTGGCTCGATCATT